GAACTACAAGTTTATGCTCCAAATCATGCCAATAACTTGGCAGGTGGTGGCCTTGAACCTGAAACCTTCAGCTCCAAAGCTCACTTGCTTAACCACTAATCTACCACTGCCTCTCAAACCAAGCTAGTCTATAAGTCTTAATAGTCTTAATATTGGAAAAAAATGCAAAAAAAAAAATAATAAAAAGTCCCAGAAATGTGTCTAAAGTCACAGTAAAGTTTTTTAAGAGAATCTTTGAGCAGACCAAGACAGACCTAGGTTATCATAATCTTGCCTTGGCGCAAGTAACAAGATACATTAATTGCCCGTTATTGCCCCAGTAAGTTGTGTTGTTGCCCATATTAAATTTACAATTTAATGTAAAACCACAAAATGAGCCTTTGTGTGGCTTGTTTGACATTTTACTGGAGTAAAAGATTATTACAGTATTTAACTTCTTCTTACAGTATTTAACTTCTGTTAGAAGAAAGTAAAAAGAAAAAAAAAAATCAAAATATAGGAAGTAAATCCAAGGCGTATTGTCCTTGAATTTATTTAAATTATAAGGGAGCAGCAGGCAAGACAACACAAGCAATTTTAATTTAAAAACAAGGTTTACTGGTCTGGTAGATGTAAATGTGCAATATGTTTTAGTGAAAGCACATTGGATTATTGTATCAACGCCTGAATACAGGATAAAATCTAACTTTATCTTTACTTTATAAAGTAAAAAAAATGGGATAAATACAAAAATATGATAAACATAGCGCCTGCAACATAGCCCGTGTGGGACAAAGTGAATTTAAACATATTAAATGCGAAAAACTTCCATTTTTTCCAATTTTTTTTCCATTACTCTGTTGCACTGTTGATGCAGTATGATGAAGTATTTTCACATGATCGTCATAAAAAGTAAGATCAAAACACTTCTTCACCTCCCCTTCAAACACATCACTCCACCCAGAGGACGAGACTGTGCTTTGAAGGTGACCATGAATAATTGGCCGGTGGCTAAATAAACACTCGGACTGTGATGCATCATGGGAATATACATGGCCAACGTAAAGTGAAACTGGATGATGGATGTGTACAAAAATGCACATTTGTGGGTGTGGGTGGCTTGGCGTCAGTGTGTGTGTGTGAGTGTTCAATGCCATTATTGGACATGAACAGAAGACAAGGGGGGTTAAAGAGACAGAAAGGACAGCAATGCGTTGGTTGAATACAGTGGTTTTCTTACAAATCTTCATTAAAAACTTACTGACCTTCCACAACAGCTGAACAGATTTCTCGTCACTCACTTTTGGGCCCTGTGAACTCAG